CTTGCCTCTTATACGCATCTAGATGTGTATAAGAGACAGCACTTCAGCAGGGCACTCACATAAGTGTGAGCAGGCAGAACACAGGGTTACCTTTTTTTTTTTTTTTTTTTTTTTTTTTTTTTTTGGAACACAGGGCTGTCATACCTGAAGGTGGGCCCAGTTTTCAAGTCAGGAACATGTAAATGGACCCCAGGGCCCATGCTATATTCAGGAGAAGACAGTAGCATGAGGCCAGGTTGGCAATCCCATCTCCGGTGACCAGACATTTTCGTTGACGAGGCATGGGACCACCTCCAAGATGACAACAGACCTCATCACATTTTTCACCAAATGTTGAAAATTGTAGGTGTATTATTTCGCAAGAATCGGGGGTCCGGAACACACTTACCATTTTGTCACATTTGGTTTAGGGTTTGGTGGCAAGTTCTTGTTGTTGTTGTATAACAGTCATCAGCAGGTGACACTGCTGACCAATCGAAGGAGCCTCCAGCAATCAAGAAGTAGACTTGTCACTGAAGGCTCCCACTGAGGTTCTCATTTGTTCTTGCAGCTCCCCTTTTGGTCCCTTTGACTATGCCTCTCATGTACAAGGCTGGCCACGTTGATTGTGGTTGAACGCCAGCTGGCCACACCCCCGTGTGCCTTAACAGCACACTTGCACGTCATGAAAGGAGGCGGAGTAAAGGGGGAGGTATATAGTCCTGTTCATTTTTGTATATTTTTATTATTTTTATTATTATTTAAATTTATTTTAAATTTGGACCATCTCGATTTATGCGTGTCATCCTTGCACAGGGGCCATGCTAATCTTCTCTGTATCATTCCAATGTTAACGGATGTCCCGAAGGACATCCTGTTCATTTTTCTTCAGATCTTCAGTTTATATTTTGTCTGTTCTCTTAATGATGCTCATTCGGATACACATACTAATAATACAGAAGGGGAGGCAGGAAGGGAAGGCGTGTGTATGTGTGTGTGTGTGTGTGTGTGTGTGTGTGTGTGAGAGAGAGAGAGAGAGAGAGAGAGAGAGAGAGAGGGGAATCAGAGTGTGCTGATGTGGGACTCGGGGAGCCTTTATCTGGTGAAGGCCCGTGGGGCTATGTTGCACGCTGGCCGCGGCCGGGTTCGGCCCAGGCCGCGGCCGGTC